AGTGAAAATTTGAATAGTGCCGATGAAACATCTCATTTGATTGCTACGAATAAAAAATTCAATAGTTCTTAGATGAATTTTGTTGTGAATTTGAGGGACTTTTTCATGTTAGATCCAAATGAATTTTTGTCGAATGACTTACTCGATTGAGCGTTATTTGAGTGAAAGAACTTACGGAGATTGGGATGTTAACTTGATTTTGTAAACCAACGATACGACAAATAATGCACCGATCATTTGCAAAATTTGTAACGAGGTTACGAGCATGGCCACGAATCTTAATCAAAGATGAGATCAAACTGTGGAATTTTGTTGATTATTCACATGCTATTAATGCACTGATTCATGTTCCATTGGCGTGCTTCCTCTGAAATTTTCGGCTTCTGTTGAATCATTTCATTCATCAAGTTGTTGACGGGCAACGAGTTTCGTTCGCGAATTTGATTGATGATATGAAACTTTTTTCACGGAGCGCTTCTCATCATCAAAAACATTTTCCTATTTCACCTATACGAATCCATCAGAGACGCTTGCAATAGAGGAGGACAATGAGAGTTTATTCATGAAATCCAGAAAGGCGATTCAGCGGGAATTTACATCAACGAGCTGTGGCTACTTGCTCTTTGATGTAAATTCATAATTGGTTGTGTTTATCATCGTCTTCAGACGAACTGAGACAGTGCTAAAAAGAAACTTGCATAGTTCTCTTCAGTTTTCGTTTCACGTGTTCGATAGTTCCTGTACACACTTTCTGCGAAAAATGCGAAGCGTTTCAGAGCAAGCGACTAGTCTCATGGCATTTTTCGTCTATTTTTGATTGATCTTTAACGTCCTTTTCCTTGGGATTTCATCGTAAATAATCAAGTTCGTCAATGGACAAAGTGAACGCAATCGAACGAAATGGAATGAGACGATGTTAACAAACTTTGGTGGACGGAAACCGTAAGCTGTTGATGCATAATATGAGTACATAATCGAGTGAACGAAGAAATTCATCGTTACAACGAAACGGCCAGAAGCGGCATGTTCTGCACCTGAAATATGCACTGCTTCAGATCATTTCCTGATGAAATTGAGTTTCTTAAGCCAAAACCATCGCAATGGTTCTGTTCGGCGAAGAATTTCTCAGCTGGTCTAATATTAACAACCGATATTAGGGTCACAAATTCCGATAACCTTGCCCTAACAATTGAGTTTGGACACCTAATATCAAGGACTGCACTAAAGGTAAAGACTGGAAATGTTTGCACTTCAAGAAATGACTGGATATTCAGGTGCTCAGAACATTATGATCACAGTTTCATGACTCAAAATCGAGTTTGAACATACTAAGAAATTGGAAAAGGAGAGGAGAGGAATTCGTTATGTGGTGTGTAAATGACCAATAAGTGATTAAACGAAAGTAAAGAAATCGAACCAGTATGTGCAGAGCAGATCAGCATAGCAGCATGATGATAGTAATGCAAAAATATCAGCGGCTTCTTCCTCAACACAATGAATAGCGTATCGCCAAGTTCGACAATCTTCGATAGGCCAAACAATAAAGCCCAAAAAGCAGCCACACTTTTCGGATGGACCGTATAGCACAGTGAGCGATACATTCCCAAATGAGCGACACTATAGATTACATCCTTAAATTCATATTCTTAAGCAGCGAAGTGGTAGTTTTTCCTGAAGCATTTAGAAACCATTCGTTAACGGGTGCTTTCTCAAGGCCAACACACCGAACTCGATAACATAACTCTTATCTCCAACTTTGATNTAAAATTGTCAAAAAGTGTCTGCTTTCCAAAGAACAGGACGTTAAAAGCTAAACTCGAAGATAATAGAGTATGTTCATGAACCAATCGCAATCTTCATCATATTGTGACAAAATGAATTCTGCATGATTCGATTTCGATGACTGCATCCTATTATAAAATAATCACATCACTTTCATTGAGTAAAGGGAGCATGCTCTCTAGCGCACGAAATCGGAGTAGGCGTTGTTCATGATCAACATATCCATCCAGGTCATGAATATGCGCGCCATTCGGAGAAAAGAAACGATCTTGTGTGAGACACCGAGATTATGACATAAAAGGAATGCAAAAAGCTTGTCAACCTCTGTGAATCGAATGAAACCAATTAAACTGAACACCGCCAAAGAAACGTTCCATAGAAAGAGTGGTGTTCTCAGATTGAATGCTTGACGATATTGCATGAATCGCTGGATAAGTTTGATCAAAATGAAATATCCTACAGAAACTGTGATTGAATGATACCAATTTCGTTGTACAAACAGTGTCATTCCAACTGGATCGTCCACTTTCTCAAACGGTAACGCAAACCTTCAATGAAATTCTGCTTTNAAATTTCAGGCAAACCAACGAACATTTTACTGTTCCCAGCTTTCTTTCCAACCGAACTCAAAAAAAGTCTGTTAAATTCATATCTCAGAACAACACTTTTGTCATAACCATTCAATAAGAAGTGCTAATTTACTTGTAAACGTAATCATTATGAAGTGAAAGTGTCGAATTATTACGATACACATCGAACTGATTGATTTGCCCGATATGCCAGCGAATTGATCTAAACGCCTCATAAAGCATATTCAAAAGCTCAGCTTCTTTGATTCCTATCAAAAGCTTTACGACTGACAGATCCTGAAAGATTTTTCAATGAGACGATCGGAACTGAAACATCTTCAACGCCATTCCAATGAATTCCTTATGATTTCTATAATTTTCACCTACTCATCTGATTCGATTAGGGATTAAACAGTGATTGATGAAAACAGTCAGTCAATGATTTGTTGAATTAGCTCCTTTCTGATTAATAATGAACATCTTGCTTCGAAAGAATGTGTTTAAACATGTCCCGCATCGATATTACAAAAATTGTTCGATCCCGGGATCAAAATTCGATCCCGGGATTAAAGCCCGATTCCGGGATTTTGATTAAACATCGTGATTTTGTAAACTCTTGTGCCGATATAGTCAATATTGGTACTTCTTTACGGTATTTAACGACGATGAAATTGTTATCACCGACAAGACATTAAAGTTAGATGCTTCGGAACTATTGTGATGCGATGGTGATAGTTGGTGCTTCAGTATGAAAGTGCAACACTCTCAAGGACACACTAATTCAATTGATGTGATTGAGCAAAAACGAGTGAACGGAAGTGTTCACACGCGCAAGTTTTATTACATTTCCCATTTGCCATTCAATAACTCCTCCTCGCAAAACAAATGATATGCAAAACTCCTGTTTAACTCCTACTTCGCAAATAACTTCTAATTACACTCACACTGAATATGAAAAACTCCTTAAAGAAACAAAGAAATATGTGGCATGATGTGTAACAACACATCGAAGTCGACATCGTATTCCTATCTTAAAATGGCAACAACCAGTTCAGCGTTGAGGTATATTCGATATCGTCTTATTGAAGAGTCTCATTGAGTGGCTGAATTAAAGCGAATAAATTCAATTCAGTAAAATCATGCGGGATTTTTAGCTAATGATGACTGTACAAGTTTTCATTGCAGCCACAACAGAACGTACTTGATCCAACAATTTTGCGTAGTCTCGGGATCTCGACAACGTCTTCCTCACAAGCGTCTTCAATGACCCTTCCGCAGAAGTTGATAAAAATAGAACTTAGATCTATTGTGTGAGTTTGAGAGGAAGTCAATCGTACGAGTGGATGAAATTTTACAAGAGGAAGATTTTTTCCACTTTTCATGCTCATTTTCAGAAACACTGATGCTTCCCAAGAAGTTGAACCTTATTGATAAGCATTGAGCGTTCAGATTACTCGTGATTCGATATCAGTATCTATTCATAAGGAACGGAATGACCTACGGGACCAATACGCCCGTCATGCACATATGCGATAATGCATACACTCACTCACATCACTTAATGAAATTTTTCATTTTGCAGAATTCTAAATGCTGGTCCGAATGCGATGAAGATTACCAAAATTATGCACACATTCCTTGGATTTTCGTGGACCAGGGAAATCTTGAATCAATGCTCATTTGGAATTTCAAACGAATTTGAATGAATTCTGATCGGCTGTCAATCCTCTGCCG